TGTGAAGCTGAGGGTAGCCGGTGTAGTTTTACGTTTGCGAGTAGTTTGCGAGTGTAGTTGTTTCTTTGTTTTGGCTCAAGCCGTGACCTGCGACCACGCGGGCAAAAGAGTGTTGCGCGCGTGTGCTTTGGTTTAGAGGAGCCTCGGAGAGTCCTCGCCTTGCAGTTGGGGGCTGTTCTGGGAACTACATCCTGAAAAGGAGGTTCTCAGATTCTGGATTCCTTCTCCGGGCCTCCGAGCGGCAGTTGCGCTCGAAGGCCGGCTTGAGGAGTTGAGTCCGGGGCCTTTGGAGCGTTCCGCCCAGGGCCCGGATGTCGGCCGGGCTGGGCCTCGATGAGTACGAGGTCAGCCGGAAGCCAGGCCTGTCTTTGGAGGACGCGATCGACTCGATCCGGAGATGTGCCAACCCCGGAGCTGATGCGTTTCCAGGGATGGCTGGCATGGAGAGGGAAGGAAGGAAGCCGTCCCGCCCAAAGGAAGGGGGATACGGCGGGGACAACGGGAAAGTTTGAAGCAGAGCTTTGGCGGAGCACCATGGAAAGGATTTATGGAGAAGATTGGCGAGCTGAGCTGGATGCGAAGGAGCTTGCTGAACTGGCCGCCTCCTCAGATGATGGTGATGAAGATGAGGAAGAGGAAGAATTGATGCCAGAGGCTCCGATGCCAGGAGCAGCGCCGAAGGCTTTTCCTCAGGCGGCAGCGGTGCAGCGCTCTTCGTCGCCCGCTGCGTCTAGGATGAGCTCCTCCGTGGGAGACGAAGGAGACGTGGTTGCTCGGTTGAAGGCTAGGCTTGAGACACCCTTTGTTCCTCAACTTGAGGACTTGGAAAGCTACTCTAGCCGGGTGCAGCGAATCGGGGAAGCTTTGAGTCAGCTGAACTCTCCGGTCCCTGAAGGGGAAATGGAGAAGACGTTGTTTAGAGCTGAGGTGACCGGGGAGCTCGAAGGAGCCTCGGACCCCCTGAGGCACCTGAAGGTCAGGTTTGGGGAAGAACTAGCTGATGGCTCGGATTCTATCGTGAGCCAGAGAAGGCTGTCTGTTTTGATACAGATGATCCAGGAGACAGGAGGAAAGCTGAGCACGAAAGCGGACAA